TTGGTATTTACCCTTAATTCAATGGTTGCAGGATTTTTTTCTCCCTGCTACTAGATTAAATCTAGGAATCTCATTGTGGAGGTTTGAATAAGAATGGCCCTTGAAGGCCCTTATGTTTGATATTTGGTCCTCAGTTGGTAGAACTATTTGGGAAGGATTAGGAGGTGTGGCCTTGTTGGAGAAGGTGTGTTACTACAGAAAGGTGTGCAGGAAGGCTTTGAGGTTTTTTTTTTTTAATATTTATTTATTTACTTATTTATTATGTATACAATATTCTTTCTGTGTGAAGGCCAGAAGAGGGCACCAGACCTCATTACAGATGGTTGTGAGCCACCATGTGGTTGCTGGGAATTGAACTCAGGACCTTTGGAAGAGCAGGCAATGCTCTTAAACGCTGAGCCATCTCTCCAGCCCCCAGGCTTTGAGGTTTTAAAAGCCCATACTGTTTCCAGTGTGGTCTCTGCCTCCGGGTTTCAAATTGTAAGCTCTCAGCTACTGCTCCGGTGCCATGCCTCCCTACCATGATGCTCCCAACCCTCTGAAATTGCAAGTCTGAAATACACTCTTCCTTCTGTTAGCTGCCTTGGCTGTGGCATTTCACTACAGCAATGGAAACATAACTAAGACATTCGTGTACGCTGGTCCAGTATCAGACCACTGAGCCACATCCCCTGCTGTCAGCTTAAAAAATATTTTCAATTCACACTTGAATCTCAAAAATAAAATCCCCAAATTCAAAAGGTGTAGATCTCTAATTATATGTACTATAAAGGGTCTCAAAATTAATTTTATTCAATTTTGACTTAGTCAAAATCAAGTTAGGATGCAAATCTTGAACTATGTAAACTGCAGTTCCCCGAGGCTAGGAATCACTGGCCTAAGGCAAGGCTGGGAAACCTTCTCTGTAAAGAGATAAATATTTTATAGTTTATAATAAAGTCTGTGGTATGTTACAGTATGCTGTGGACACAGTATGTCAAGGAATGAGTATGGCGTGTTACGGCACAGTTTCATTCACAAAACGGGCAGTGGTCCAGCCCACCTGAACAGCAGCTTCATGGACTTCTGCTGAAGTCACTTACATTTCACATTCCCACCAAGAATATCTACCTAGCAATTCAGGTTCATACAATAAGTTATTAATTAGTAGAAATAGTTATGTAAGCTTGAGTCTCAAGAGCTGTTAGAAAAATCTGAACTATTTGAAATGCAAGGATATCTTTTGGAGCTCCAGTGTGACCTGAATCCTACCTAATGGGCAAAGCCTCATCTGCTCCCCTGTGCACTTTGACCTTACCTGCTTGGCTAAGCCGGGGGACCAGGTATTGCCGTCCTGAAGTCTGCAGCAAAGGAGCCAGATCATGAAAGAGGTAAAACACTCCAGTCTGCCGAGCTTTCCTACAGGCCTCGTCATCTTCCTTCAATTCAAATAAATATCTGTATTTGGGGAGTAAGCATCGAAAGACCAGACTTAGA